CATTTTATGATTTAATTTCTGATTATTGATTTTTTTTTCTTTTTTCTTTTCTAGTCTAGTCCATGCATAGACTCATAAATTCATAAATTGCTAAAAATTGTTATTAGTTTTTTTAATAAAAAATGATACCAATGGTATGAAATGTTATACTTATGTACAAACATCTTAGAAAGATGTTACGGTCATGTTACAAAATTATTTCATTGAGATTTGTAATCGTTTCAATTATTATGATGATATGAAGGTTACAAACCTCGACGGAATGGTTCCGTAACGAGACCTTAGCATATCTCTAACATTTTAATTTAAAAGTATGGTCGTGTAACTGATAAAATAATGGATTCATTATTTTCTTTAAATATGTATTGAAATATCATATTTTATTTATGTTGTTTTTAAAGTATACCTTAAAAATCCTCACTTGATATCTAATTCTTCTCCATTTACCCCAAAGAAACAAGCTCACATCCTTCTTGAGTTTAAAACCTCAGTTGGTATTGAGTAGTTTAACTTCACTTTCACACAATTCTTTGCTTCCTTTAAAAAATCTCTCTATACTAAAATCACCAACTCATTTCAACTATCATTTGCAGTTCAACGACGTCGTTTACCGCGCCAAAACGAAAAATCCCGGCCGCCCCTCGAACACCGATGACGGCGAAAAACTGATCCTCAAGGGCATAACCGGGATTGTCTGCCCGGGCGAAATGCTCGCCATGCTCGGCCCATCGGGCAGCGGGAAGACGACCCTCCTGACCGCCCTCGGCGGCCGTCTGCCTGCCGCCCGCTTGGGCGGCTCCATCACCTACAACGGCCGCCCATTCTCCAACTCGGTCAGGCGCTCCACGGGATTCGTCACGCAGGACGACAATCTCTACCCCCACCTCACCGTCAAGGAAACGCTCGTCTACACCGCCCTCCTCCGCTTACCGCGCGCCCTCGGTACGGCCCGCAAGGTACAACACGCCGAGGCCGTGATGGACCGGCTGGGCCTGCAACGGTGTAGGGACAGCGTGATCGGTGGGGCCCACAAGAGGGGCGTGTCAGGTGGGGAGAGGAAGAGGGTGAGTATCGGGCAGGAGATGCTGGTCGACCCGAGTTTGTTGTTCCTAGACGAGCCCACGTCCGGTTTGGACTCGACCACGGCGCAGACGATCATCTCGACTCTTTTGGATCTCGCAGAAGGCGGCGGGCGGACGGTCGTGATGACGATACACCAGCCGTCGAGCAAGCTTTTTTACATGTTTCATAAGGTGCTTTTGTTGTCGGAGGGGAGTACATTGTATTTTGGGGAGGGCGGCGCCGCGTTGGATTATTTCTCGGGTATCGGGTTTGCGCCTTCCGTCACTATGAACCCCGCCGATTTCTTGCTCGATCTTGCCAACGGTATGTTACGTATGGTGTGATTTTGTTTTTCGAACGAATGTGCATTTCTTTGATTAGTATGCTCGTTTTTGGTTACGACATAGAGTAATGATTAAAATTGCAATTTCTGTCCCTACGATTCGACTTCGAAAACTCATTTCACGGGAGCAGGGTGCGATTCCGTGGGACCAAAGTATAACTGAAAACAAACTTTTGGCTTCATTTCTCTGAGCGAGTGTGTAGTTCTTTAATTAGTATGCTCGCTTTCGACCCCTATGATCCGAGTTTGAATACACATTTGTCGATTCTGTTTGCTATGTTTCGATTTACCGATGTTCACGGGTGCTAAAGTGGAGGGGTTCGATTCCATGAGAACCCAAAGTACAACTCAAAACAATCTTTTTGCCTTCATTTTTTTTCGCACAGGAGTCACGACGAACGATTTTCAGGAGGATCCAGCGGCCGTGAAGCATTCTCTGGTGTCGGCCTACAAAGCCAAGCTCTCTGAGTCCGTAAGAGCCGAAATCGAGGCCTATAGCAGCTACGATCACGACTCCACCTTGAATGATAAGGAGTCAAACAAGTGGGCCAACTCTTGGTGGTCGCAATTCACTGTGTTGTTCAAAAGAGGGCTAAAAGAGAAAAAACATGAGACCTTCAAGGTTATCAAGGTCTCGCAGGTCATGGTCGTCGCTATCATATCCGGCCTCCTATGGTGGCAGTCGGATATCAGCAACTTACAGGATCAGGTAAAGTAAATGTAACCGAACCGAACGAGCCTGCAGATATTTAACGTTTCTAACTCATGTTCGATTATTACTGTTCTCTTCGAGTTCCCTCGTTTATTTTTCGAGTAATATATCGTATTCGAGCTCGCTAGTTTGATTGTTCCTCAAAGATCGAGTTAGTTGCGTTCGAATGGTTTTTAGTAGACAAACATTTTATAATTGTCTAATTAACTCGAAATTTGTTCGTTCGCACCTGTTGAAGCTCTAAAATAACATAACTAAAAAAAAAAAATGTATATTTTTTTAATATTTTGAGACTTTCATTAAAATTATTCATTGAACTAGTTTGTGTTCGCTCGA